CTTCCCAGTGTCCATCCCTCCATGCACTTCTGCCCCCTGAGCTGTCTCCCTGTGCATAAGCAGCCCTTCTTTCTCCCATGATTGTTCTCTCCAAAGAATGTATCTACTTGAGGTAAATGTTGAACTCATATGCCTGTATTTTGTTTGGCTGGAAACCACAGGTGTGGGTTCAATTCCAGTATTGGTCTCCTTTCGTCTGGAGCAAAGGAAAATGAAGAAAATCAAAGCCATTTGGAAACAATTAGTCTGAAGATATGATGGGCCAAGAGGACTTCAGCCTTTACAACCCTGAGACCAGAAGAACTAGATGATGCCAGGCTACCAATGCCTACCTAGGAAAGGGATCAAAATTGGAAATCCTGGATAAAGTGGTAGGAAAAATGTGTAACAAAATTAAAAAATGCAAAAATGACCAGAATTACTGGTCGGATAGAAGCTGGTGGAACCCTGGGTTATCCTTTGGACTTGAAACGACTCATTTCCATGGATTAGCTCTCAACAAACAGCAGAAAAGATCTACAAGCAGAACACCTACCTCAGGGAGATGTACCCACCTATGCTAGAGAGATGTACTCCCTAGATCAGTCAACCATGAGACATCAGAAGGGCAGCATTTGCATAGTGGAAAAGCTGTATAGACAGGAATGCACAGATAAGAAGGGCAGAGGGAAGGGATAGTCACAGGGAGGAGATGGGAGGAGAGCTTTTTATGGCTGGGTACTGTAATTGGGGGAGCTCTGGTGGCCTAAGGCATTTGACTGCTAACCAGAAGGCTGGTGGTTCAAACCTACCAGGCACTCCTCAGAAGGAAGGTGGTGGTGGTTGTTATTTGCCGTCAAGTCGGACCCAACCGACTTAGGGACCCCTCCTTGGGTTTCTGAGGTGGTGTCACTATGGATGTAGATTGCCCAACCTTCCTTCTGAGGAGTGGCTTGTGGGTTTGAACTGCCAGTCTTCTGGTTAGCAATCAAGTGCCTTAGACACTACACTACCAGAGCTCTTATTCGGAAACCCAAGAAGGGGTCGCTGTGACTCGGATCTGACTCGTTGGCAGTGAGTTTGGTTTGGCTTTTACTGTAATTGGGGCGGTAAAACCAAATGTGCATAAACTGTTGTATGTAAAATGAATCTGCTTTGTAAATTGGCATCCAGAACACCAAGCCAAACTCACTGCTATCGAGTTGATTCCAACTCACAGTGACCCCTTTGGGTTTCCAAGGTGGTAGGTAAATCTTTACGGAAGTAGATTGTCTAATCTTCCTTCTGTGGAGTGACTAATGTGTTTGAACCACTAACCTTCTGGTTAGCAATTAAATGGCTTAGGCACTGCACCCACATCACAAAAAAAAAAAAAAAAAAAAAA